GGCCGCCCCCGCGCCTCCCGTGCGCTGCCGGTGCCCCCGCCGACGCGGCCTCTAGCCTTCCGGCAGCCGACCCCAGTGCCCCTGGCGCGACCTGAGCAGGTCGGGCCCCAGCCCTTGTCAGCCCTGCAGCCGGCCTTCCTTCTCCGCCCGCGGCCCCCGCCCTACGGCGCCCCTCGGGGCAGACCCAGACCCGGTCTCCCGCACTCCTGGAAGCTGCGCGCCCCCAAGGAGACTTAACTCCCAGCCATCCTGGTTCTCAGAGCGGTGGCCGGGATGAACCTTTGGCCGTCCGCCCAGCGGGCATTACCAGGGGCGGCGTGCAAACATGGGGCCGGGTTCACGGTCCGGGATCTGTGGGATGCGTGTGCACGCGTGAGCCTTCTTCCCGGGAGACCCCAGGGCTTTCATAAGATTCTCCATTCAACCCCCAACACAAACCCGCCTTCTTGCGATTTAGGAATTAAGGCATGTTCCAGAACCTACGATGGCGATTTCAAACGTTAAACACAGACGGGAGTGGGTAATCTCAGAGACCTGGTTCTCGCTGGCTACTGTCCGGAGCGGGGAAGGGTAATCAGAAGGTGCGTCTTGGTCTTGGGGAGCGCGTCTAGACGCGGAGGCTGTTTGATTAAGCGCTAGCTGGCCCGAGGTGGGGCACAGGAAGGCGGAGAGACTTACGCACCTCCAAGATCAGGTTTAAAATGCAAACGCCGCCACTTGGCCCCAATTAGAAGCCAAACCTTTTATGTAAACAAGGAATAATTAGCTTTGGTAATAGAAGCGTAAACAGAGTCATCATCCATTCATTTGCTAATTGCCTTTCTGTTCCATGACAATAGCCAGCATTTGGCCCTTGGGTCGGACTGGCGCAGTGGACCTGAGGCGCAGGTAGATGAGGTCTGCACTCTAAAATGGGGGAAAGGGTCAGCTTCCCCACCCCCCAGGTCCAACTGGATACTCAGATCCCTTTTCTTCCCGACTATAAGTGCAGCTCCTGTCACTTCCCACACTTCCTAAAAGAGCCTGGATGGCAAAGACATCGCGGTGTCCGGGAGGGCTTGAGTTGCTGGGGACAGAGAAGGGCGGCTGGTCAGCCCAGCTGGTGTGATTAAGTTCCCGAAACTGCAGTGCCTCACTGAGTTGCCCATCTTCAGCCCCAAATTCCCTTCTTGGGAGCAGTTACCCGCCTCATCCCTCCCTCCCGGTGCCTCTTTGTTTGATGTCAAGTCTTGTGACTCCCTCCCATTCTGCCAGTTGGACTCCCACATTGCAAGATGGCTGGAGAATTACCCAGAAGCCAGCTCACCCTCTAGCCTCACCACAATTCCCCTCATCCTCCATCCTCACCAGCCCCAGGTGGCCTCCCCAGCTCCAGAATTTTCTATATGGGAGGGACTGGGTGGTGGCAATGCCCCACCCCCACTCCAAAGTGACATTTGCATAGCACTTAACACAGCATTGGGGAAATGTCACAAATGTCCACATCAAAGCCTGCCCTTCCCCTCCTCTTGGAAAGCCAGGAGGGAAGGACACGGCCTTCTCGGTGCCTATCCTGGGATTTCAGGATCCTTGAGCATCTCAAGGACGTCCAACCCCTAGCAACACCTGCGAAGGTGTGACAGAAGGTAACAATCTGGATGACTCTGTCTGGAGAGGAAGTGACCCATCTTTGGTGGAGGACATGGGTCTCGACCAGCTTGACTGCCCTTCCTGGGGAGCCCCGGACTCAGCTGAGGCTGACCACGCTAGGGCCTCAGGGTTGCTGAGGCATCCTGGGATGGAAGGCCACCTCGTCCTGATGCCCTCTCCCACCTCCTACCCGGCCCAGAGGCAGTACCTTTGTCAAGGACGGGCCCAAAGATGGCCAGACTGTCATCTATGGTGGTGCAGTTCCAGCGGCGGCCCCGGAACTGGTGCTGGCACTCCTGGATGCCCAGCTTCACACCCTCGGCCACACTGGGCATGATCTCGATGTAATTCCGGCAGAAGCGCAGTTGCTTGGGGACCAGGCCTGGGATGGAGCCACAGAGCAGGGGCTGTGAGCCCAGGGACGTATACTGCTGGCCCAGAGCCAGGGACCTGCGGGCAGACAGAGGGGGTGGTACTGTGGATACAAAGCGCACGGCTCATCATGGGCATGATTTCCCCCTCCTGAGTCCCCTGGGGCAGGGGCAGGGAAGGGAAGACCCATGCTGCTTTCAACCTCAGGAGCACACTGTCCCTTGAAGGGCAGAGTTCTGATCCAGGCAAAGCTGCCCCATAACAGGGGCACATCCAACTTCCAGGGGTGTGGGGACCAGCAGAAAACTCTCATGGGGGTACCTGGAGGCAATTTGATGCCATGGAAGAACCGTGGACTGGAAAGATGGTATTTGGGGCCCAGGTTCCCTGCTGGGTATTGAAGGGGTTGGGCTGGGCCATCTCCTATGGAATCTAGAATTATGGGGCCATATAGAGACTTCCAGTGACCCACGGGAAGGAACCCAAACCTATAAGGAGGGAGGAGACAGGAGCTTGTCTGACCCCATCTCCATCTTCTGCCCCAGCAGGGAAATTACACTGTGGAGTGTGTGTGTGTCTGTGCACCCTGGAGATATTCCTCAGCTTCATCCCCCAGATGCTAAATGCCCAGCCCAAGTCCCCGCCCCCTCCAGCGTCTCTCCGGGGAATCAGTGGCTGGCACTAGGTCTTCTGTCCACCAAGCCTCTGTGACCATCTGTGCCACTACTCAGAAGTTTCTAGAGTGCCACCTCTTCTCTCACCAGAGATTGCAGCTTGACTTTGTTTCAAGACAAGTTTAGCTCCCCCCTCTCAACGCTATGTGGCCTTGGTCAAGTCACCCCACTCTTCTGCCCCTCAGATTTTATAGTCAACAGAAGGAATACCTTTGGGGAGGGGAGTGTAATGAGAGTTTAAAATACCAGAAGACCAAGATGCTGTGGGAATCACTACTCTTCCACACCCCACCCCTCTCTCCCCCAGGAACAACAGGAAAAACATTTTGTGAAAGATGGTGAGAAAATGATCAGTGGGTCCCAGTGGACTGCAAGGCTAATTTTGATCAGCCCTGTGATTGGGGGCTATGTGAGCTGGAGGAAGGAGAGCATGAGGGCTGTCTCCTCATCCTTTAAATCAAGCACTGCCCAAGGCTCTGGTCTGGCACTGCCCTCTGTCAGGTCCCTCATGCAAAGTGGCCAGTGAAAGCCTTGGAAAGAGAGACCAGAAGATCCCAGGGGCAGGTCAGAAAAAAGCACACCGTAGCCTTCAGGGCTGAACACAGGGATGAACCACACGTCTACCATTTATCAAGCTCCTACCATGTGCTGGGCACTTTACGTGAACTATTTCTGTGCAATTCTTCAAAGTGAAGACTATTACTATTCTTGTTTTACAGCTGAGGAAACTGAGGTTTAGAGAGTAAGTTAGCTTGCTCAAGGCTTTTTGGCGCCACATCTGTGGCGGAGCAGAGCTGCTCTGTGTTTCCCCAGAAGCCTTCCTCCACACTGGAGCTTGCTCCTGATCTTAGCCAACCCGCACAGACTCCAAGGGGCAGAGCTGCTTTGGGCGCCATGGAGGTGGGTGGCACCCATCCACCTTGGGCTGGCTCTGGGCTCAGTTGTTAGGGGGATGTTGTGGGCTCTTGTTCTTTTACATCTGTCTTGTGGAGAGGGACTGGGGAACCAGATCTGGTTGGAGTTCGGAAGACAACTTTTATGAGACATTTCCAGATCTTGAGCGCTGAGTCCTTTGAGAAGGAACAGGCAACCCGAGGGCTGGCTTAGCACCGAGAATGGCTGATTCCTGGGCACCTGCTCGGTCTCATAGGATCACTATGAGTCGGAATTGACTCGATGGCAATGTGTTTGGTTTTTTGGGTTGGTTTGGCATGCCCCTATGTCGCATGCATGATCTGCTTTAATCCTCACAACAGTTCTGTGAAGTAGGTGTGGCCTTCCTCATTTTACGGAGGAGGAAACTGAGGCACAAGAAGTTGGGTGACTTAGACAAGGAATTGGTGGTGTCAGAATTCAAACCCTGGGTTTGTTTGTCTGACTCCAGGTGTGATGTTCTCACCATCCACTTTACCCTCCTTCTCCAAGAAGCCCTCCGCTGCCTCCGAGACAAGGAGTTATTCTTGCTTCTGCCGCCAAACCCTATAGCCTTCCAGCAGCCCAGCCCCAACCTATTGTGGACCTGGGAGCCTGGCTGCCTGGGTTCAAATTCAGCTCTGCCACTTCCTGGCTACTGATCTCAGGCAATTTACTTAACCTCTGCATGCCTCAGTTTCTTCATTTGTAAAATGGAGATAATGGGAGGAATAAATGATGTCATCTGATACCTAGCACAGCCCTCAATAACTGGCAGTCATTGTGGTCACCATGTGTTTAGGGACTGTCCCCAGCACTTTATCCCCTGCCTGATCATCAGGTTCATTCCTTCCATCCTCTCATCCCTAATGTGGTAGAAGTTGTCGGAATTTTCAGAGCCCTTTCCCATCTATCACTGGGAAGGAGGGTGCCTTGGTTCAGAGCAAAGCTGGCCCCTTCCCTGGCAACTCCTTCCTAACAGGGGTGGCTGAACAAAGACACTGCCATCTGACTGGGTGTTAAAGGTAACCCAAAGGGCAAGGGCACAAGGATATTTCCGGGATGCTCTGTTCACAAGGTTCAGCTCGGACTGGACATCCTGCTAGTAATTAGCTGGGCAGAGGCCTCTGGGGATGGTAGCTTAGCTCCATGGGCGGGCGTTGGGACTAATGAGGCTGTGGCCGTGGGATTGATTTCTGCAGGATAGCTGCCCTTCCCAAGCATACCCTGCCACCCCAGCCCTGAGCCTCCTACCCACACACTGCTCATGTCTGAAATTCCACCATCACAGACACGTGGCCTTAACTCCAGACTCCTTGTCCCCATTATTGAAGCACAGGTGGGGGAGGCAACACAGTTCCTTGTACTAAAGCGTGAGTGGCTTTGTTTCGCCTGGCCTCGCCCTGCAGCCCAATGTTTCACCCCTTCGCACTCTGCACATGCTGAGCCTCCGCTAGAGTACCCCTCCATTGCCCAAGCCCCTGGCAAACATCTCAGCCACCCTTCAAAACTTATCCTGGGTCACCTCTATTCTAAAGACTTTGTGGGCTCCCACACAGAAGTAACCTCCCCTCCCTCTGTACCTTGTTCAGACCTTTTTACAAAGTGCTAAACTGAGCTGCTTCCAATGTCATTTGTCTGTGCTAGTGTATGTTCCCCCAAGGACAGAGGTTGCATCGCACCCACACCACACACGCACCTGTGTGCACCCTCACGCGAGTGCTTGGCCTAGCAAAGGGCTGGGCACGTGGTAGGTACTGGAGGATTCTACAGGGAAGGAATGAAGGAATGAGTCTGTTCTGGGTTGAATAGTGGACTCCCACATTCATGTCCTTCCCAGAAACTCAGAATGTGACATTTGGAGATAGAGTCTTTGCAGATGTAATTAGTTAAGATCTTACTAGATTAAACCCATTGCCGTCAAGTTGATTCCGACTCATAGCGGCCCTATAGGACAGAGTAAAACTGCCCCATAGTGTTTCCAAGGGGCAGCTGGTGTATTCCAACTGCTGACCTTTCGGTTAGCAGCCGAATGCTTAACCACTGTGCCACCAGGGCTCCCCATCCTAGATTAGGGGGGCCCTAATTCCAATGACTCCTCTCTTTCGTTCTGTTGTGCAGAGGGTCACTATGAGTCAGAACTGATTCGACAGCACCTAACACAGCAAATCCAATGACTGGTGTTCTTATAAGAAGGCCATTTAAGACACGAAGAGACACCGAGGGAAGTCGGCCACATGAAGATGGAGGCAGAAATTGGGGTGATGCAGCTACAAGCCAAGGAAAGCCAAGAACTGCTGGCAACCGCAAGAAGACTCAAGGAAAGATTCTGCCCTAGAGCCTCCAGAACTGTGAGAGAATAAATTTCTGTAGTTTGAAGCCACCCAGTTTGTGATAAATTGTCACGACAGCCCCAGGAAGCAAATACAGACTCTCCTTCTCCAAAGGGCCGGTCTTAAGCTCCCCTCCCCCACATCTTGTAGCCCCCTCACCCCCACTCCCCAGCCCTCCGGAGGTTCTGCCTACACACAGGACAAGACTCCTCGGTTCCGCTGAGGAAGTTCCTACGTTTAGGATCTGAGATGACGATGGCCAAGCTCCCAAGGGAGGTCGGGCCTGCCTGGCATGGGCAGCTGGTGAGGGGGAGGGCGGAGGGTACTGCCAGACCTTCCCAGCTGGGCCAGCAGCTATTTATACCCAGCTCCTAGCCCTGCCCTGCTCTGCCCAAGGGCCCCACCACCCTCCCCCTGAGGACAGCTCATCCTCCACCCTAGCCCCCCACCACCCAGCTGGGCCGAGGACCAAGCGAGCAACAGGCATCTCATGGAAACCTCAAGGTTGACTTCTCAGAGCAGAAAAACACTCTCTCCACACAGGGTGGTCTTAAACATCCTGTGTACCATCATCAGACTCCACCCCCTACCCCAGTTATTTGCCAATACTGGGACAACACCTTTGTCAACAGCGGGCTGAAGGAGGGCCTAGATGTTGGGCCCAGGGCAGAGACAAACGTTTTTCTTTCTTTCTTTTAAAATATTTTGGTGACTTTCCTTTTTTTGCCTTTCCTGGTTATTCTTCCCTGAGAACTTATAGATGTGTAGAGGAGTACAATGCTGTTTGGTTTTTGCATAATAAAAAGTTTAGTGAGACCAGAAATTTGGTGTGATTTTTTTAACCCTCCACAGATAGGAAGATTAAGGAGGCCTGGTGGCACAATGGTTAAGTGCTCGGCCGCTAACCGAAGGGTTGCCAGTTTGGACCCATCCGCAGCTCCGAGGGAGAAAGACCTGGTGATCTGCTTCTGTAAAGATTACCGCCAAGAAAACCCTATGGGGCAGTTCTACTCCATCACATGGGGTCTCCATGAGTCAAAATTGACTCATTGGCACCTAACAACAACGACAGATAGGGAAATTATTTTTAACAGGTACCTTTGAGAATTTATAACTGCTCTGTGATTCTTCTTGAGTCCATGAGTCGAATCATTGTATT